GAGAGAGAGACAGAATCGGAAGCAGGCTCCAGGCTCTGAGCCATCAGCCCAGAGCCTGACGCGGGGCTCGAACTCACGGACTGCGAGATCGTGACCTGGCTGAAATCGGACGCTTAACCGACTGTGCCATCCGGGCGCCCCTGCATGATGTATTTCTACTTGTCCTTTAAGATTGAGTTCAGACATCACCTCTTCCAGGAAGCCTTCCCTGCACCATTCTGGGCTGGACAGCACTCTTCTGCTACCATCTAGCAGAGACCTTATTATTTGTTTACTCTTTTATTATTTTAATAAAATTTATTATTTATATTTTTTAAAAAATAAGCTCTACTCCCAACATAGGGCTCAAACTCACAACCCTGAGATCAAGAGTCACACGCTCTACCACCTGAGCCACAGAGTCACCCTGTAGAGAGCTAATTGTACGTATCTTTTATGGCTCTCTGTCCTCACTGGACTGGGAATACTAATTGTCTCTTTCTAGTGCTAAGCACAGGGTCTAGCCCATAAGAAGCATTCAACAAATGTTTGGAGAAGGAATGAATGTTAAGTCCTTGTATATATCCATAGTCATATCTGCCATTATCCCACTACCTTGAACAGCCTTGGCAAAGGACTCTTCTCATCCCAGTTCTGGTTTCTTCCCCCTTGTCCAATGTCTCCATCCTGTTTACTCCCATTTGCTGCCATCTTGGACCAGCAGGCTGACTTGACCAGACTTTTACTTCACGGTGGCTCTGGATGGTTTTCCTCTTACCACTATCAAAACCTCTTGTCTTCTGTCCCGTTCTCAATTAGGGGGCTGTTATTTACTGGGAGAGAAAAGGGAATCAGATAAGAGAATACATGTTAGTGGGGGTTAATGTTACCTCTCCCAAATACATAGTTTTTATGTTAATAGTAACATTTTATGGACAATATCTTCCTGCTGCAGGTCTCAAGCAGGGCCCAGGTGCTCCCTGGGTCATGCACAGGTATACCAGGAATCCTATAAGCCCGAGTCTGGTTAACAATGCACAACCTGAAGGTCTGGGAAAATAATTGCATGTGAAGATAAAAAATGGATATCTTAGGGAGAATGTCAAATTTTCATAAAAGTACAAAGTTAAAATGAGCCCCTGAAGGCCCCAGTCCCAGGGCATACAACTTTATTCCCATTAGTGTTGGGGTGAGTTCTGGGGAGAAGTTTGGGAAGCACTAATGGGGTTCACTTTAGGCTATACGCTGGATCTTTAAGTCCTATATTGAAGACTGGTGACCACACATTTGCAAGGGGGCAGGGCTAGCACCCTCGGCGGCTCACGGCAAATCCTGGTGTGCTCGGCACGGTCCTAGATCAGTGTGTCATTTGTAGGTCAGCCATTTGCCCCACTAGACGTCATCACCCACTTAGCCACCATGCATCTATCCAACATCTACCAGCAGCTCATCAATGCTCTCTGTGCAGGGAGAATGATGTGGACCAGCTAGGCGTTACTGTTCCCAAGGATTTCACAGTCTGGCAGGGAAGATGCATGAAAAGGAGAGTCATATTATGCAGCACATCATTAGAAGAGTAGTAAGGATTCTGGAAAGGAGCACAGAGTTCTGTCTGCTGGGGGAGCAGTTGTTTCTCCCTGATCACATTCCCCTTAGAATAGTCCCAGCCAAGCTGGGAAAACACTTTTTTATTCTCAGTCCTCAGAATCTTAAAAATAAAGCCATATTCCCCCCTGCCCCCCATGGGATTCTGAATATTTTGCATGTTCAAAAAGAATGAGGCATGATTTAGGAGTTTATTATGAAATATTTCTGAAAATATAGGTATATATAAATTATGAAGGTCTATGTGATATTTCAAAGATATTAAAGATAGATACACATTTTTCACTATTTTCTTCTCTTGCAGTTGTAATCTATTTTTGAGAATTAAATAAACATATATTATTGGCACTTTCTTGTTAAATCTGTACCCCACAATATCATTTTTAGAATAAAACATTTTTGAGCTTCCTTTCCCCTACCCCCAGATTATTTTTTTCTCTGCTTCCTTCTTCCCCCCTCTCCCTCCCTTTCTTCCTTCCAGCATATATTCTGGACAGCATAACCGAATCCCGACAGTATAGGATATAGCGGTAAGAAAGGCAACAAAAGCCATCTAAACCTATTAAAATACATTTTGGGAACAAATCGACCAAACACCGTTTTATCCAAATATAACTTGTTAGGAAATGCCCATTCCGAGAAGTGAGGCTCTCTTGCCCTGTGCGCTGATGCAAGAACAGATGACATCCTAAATGCAGGAGGTCTCTGTAGCTCTTCTCTGTATCCTGCTGAAAACCTTACCTTCTTTCAAGACTCCTGGAAGAACCGTCCCAATTAGTGCAGTACACATTCTTAAGGTCCCATAGGAAATTTCAGATAAAATTTTGCAGCTCCAATGCTACTAGAAAAATCCTCTGGTGCCAAGATTTAGCCACAGGAGGATTCCTGTCTTTCTCAAGGCAGGTAAACACCCTCTGGCACTTGTCAGAAAATCTTCAGTAGTGTGGCTGTTATTTGAGGGTTTATGAATACCCTTCACTTTTCTTGGGGAACTGCCTGGCTCCCCATACACCTTTCTTTGCCACGACCAAGTCAGAGCCAAATGCATCATTAGCTTGGGTCTACACCCTGACACCCTCACATGCAGGAGGCCCCGCGTCCACTCCTGGCTCGCTGGCCCTCTCAGCCCATCAGTGCACCGTGAACAAAGCATCGCAGAGAGCATGAGCTGCGGTGAGCATGGCTGAACGGAACTCACTTTGTCACATTTACGGTGTCTGAGCTTTGTCAAGTTGCCTTCTCCAGTGGCTCTATTACTTGATTTTTAAGACAGTAAAAAGAAATAGTTCGTTAGGAAGTCCCCCTCTGCAGTCCAGCAATGCCAGAAGCCAGCTCTCCCAAGGGAGCAGAGCGGGCGCTTCTTCACTACCAGGTTACTAAAGACAAAACACTTCACTGGCACTTGCTGCTAAGGTACCTTTTGGGGCCCAGGCCTACCTCGTTTCATTGCACTTCGCTGAAACCGTGTTTTTTTACAGACTGGAGGTCTGCAGCCACCCTGCCTCGACCCGGTCTGTTGGTGCCATTCTTCCAACAGCATTTGCTTCAGACACACTTCACGTGTCTCTTGTCATTTTGGTAATTCTCGCTGGATTTCAAACTTTTTCATTGTCATTCTATTCGTTATGATGATCTGTGATCAGTTATCACAGCTCACTGAAAGCTCCAATGATGATTAGCATTTTTTTAGTAATAAAGTATTTTTAAATGAACTGTTTTACAATGCCGTCGCCCATTTCATTAGACTCGTATGGTGTAAACGCAACTTTTATATGCGCTGGGAAGCCAAAACATTCGGCTTGCTTTAGTGAGAGGGTCTGGGGCCAGAACCTGCACCCTTTCTCTCTGAGGTAGGTCTGTATTTTTCGTTCTGAGAAAGAGAGCTTTCTGGTCAGTGGATTTAGTTTCCTCGCTCCAAACGCCTACAACTTGTGAGGGACAGAGGCTCCTTGGCATGTGTTGGGAATCGAGGTAGTTTCATTTGCCTGGACTGGTCTACCTCAGGAACATCTCCGGGTAGCACATTACCGTTAGGAAGAAGGAACCTGAAAACATCTCTGATTTCTCTGTATTCATAGCTACATTTTTACTTCTCCACTGCAACCCTACACAAGATGTTTCAGCATGCCACGCTGTGTCAGAGTGCCCTGGGGTCGACCCAATTCTCGAGCTTTGCTTCATAGGCGAGAATCCACGACAAACTCAACTGATGAATTAAAGGCTATACTTTGGTTTGAAGAAACTAAGTTTGTTTTCTAGAAGAATCTCTTTTCAAAGCAGGGTATATAACTTTGTCGTTTTTGTTTTTTTTTTGTTTTGAATGACTGAATCAAAAACACACAACAATCCTCCAGAGAATATTTGCCAATTATCCAACCTAGTGGGACGTGAGGATTAAAAGCAAAGTTGTCTTTAAAAATATCTCGAACGTGTTAATAAATTGCCCAGTAATGTGATGGTAATTGTAGAGATCTTTGAAATGTTATCAATTTAGCAACTGCATCAATACCAAAAACAATACCATAAACACTTGATTGATTAGCCAGAAAATCCCTTTGTTTTATCCTTTTTTTTTTTAAACGTTGGAAACCCTTTCTAAATATAAAGATTATTTCAGCAAAAAAACTCTCCTTGTATAATCCCACGATAGCAGTGATCTTCGAATCACAGGGTCTTAGATCTGTAGGAACCAGACGCAAATCTCATCCGACCCCTTCATTTCTGCATTCAGGACCCTAAACAGAGGTGCCACATGGCTGTTCGAGGTCCCACAGTTGAATGAGCGCAGAGCCAGGCCTGGATAGTAGGTGCAGTCTACCCACTGCCCCTCCTACCACACCAGGTTGCTTCCCTGCTTAGCGACATGCTTGCGGATGTAGAGGGCCACTGGGAAAGACATATACTGACTCTAGGGGAACAGTGCTTCTTCTTGAAATTGTCTTTCTCCTACAAGCGGGATACAGAAAATTCCAGTTAGCAAAAGTGTCTGGTAGATGAAAACATTAAAGTATGCTTAATCTTGCTCTAATGATCCTCTGAACTAGCTAGACAACAGCCTAACCCTTCTGGGGGGCGGGGCAGGGCAGGGGGAGAACTGCACAATGGTTAAATTCACCAGGTAGCTCCTTGCCACCTGGCAGTGGGGCAATGTCACTGTTCTAGTACCTTCCATGATTTAAACAAATGAACAAAAAAAAAAAATTCAAATGTAAAATGCTCTCTTTTTAATTACTAAATTAAGAAAGTTAAACAATTTAAAAATGTAAACTCACAAATAAATCATAACAAAAAAAGGAATTAAGATTTCAGAGTTGCTACCCAGTATTAAAAACTTAATAGAAATAGGTTTTTTGATTTGTTGTTAAACATGTAATTCAAGGTTGGTACAAACAGCAACTAAAAATGTAGTACTTTTTTTTTTTTTCCTTTTTCTTTCTTTCTTTTTTTTTTTTTTTTGGTGCATCCCCATGAAATGTAAAGTAGTGCATAGTTATTCCACTGGAGACTTCTCGGACATATAGAAAGTCATTTCATTAGCAGTACAGGATGTTTAAAACACTTATTTCACAATGGGAAATGTACAACCCCCCCCACCCCCCAAGTTTTAGTTGCATGAGAAAGTTTAGCAGGTTGCCAAGACTATAACGCTATGGGTTTTAGACCATTTAAATGTGGTTACAAGGTTTATTAAATAAAAAAAAAAAAAGTTTGAAACATTTCAGCATTCATATTTTTGTACAAGAAGTATGTGTGGTTATCCACCTTCCAGTTCCCCTGGTGGTATTGGCCGTTGGCTTGCTTAAACACGCTTTTAGGTTTCAAGACCAAATTGCAGTTAAGTCAAAGCAAATACTGGAAACAGAACTTGTGAATCCAGCTCTGGAGCTGCTTTTGAAAAGAATCAAAGTAACAGCCATCTACAGGTACAATCATGAACCAAAAAAGTGCAATCTAAATTAAAAAGAAAAAAGGATCATGCTTTGCAAAAGCCAAAAAGGATGCCACTGGTGTGCAGAGTAATACCAGGGCTTTTATGCAGATTTGGCAGTAAAATCCTCACTCTGGGTCCCGAGGCTTTATGGCCTGGGTTGGCCATGGTCTCCACATTAGCACCCACGTGGTGTATGTACAGGGACAGATATATTATATATATATTCATATTTATAAAAAAGAAAAAAAAAACAAACACCTGTCCTGATTGGTTTTTGTTAAAACATGAAAAAAAATTTTATTGTTTTAGACAAAGAGGCCACTTTTGGAAAATAATACTTTTTTTTTAGTTGAATCAGGTGAAGACAGTTAAAATCACATAGGATTTGCATTTTAAAAAAAGGAAAGCACTAGGATTGTTGGCACTGGAGTAACTATTTACACTGAACAGAGGTTTGGCCTTTTACATAACATCAATACAATGCATTTTCCAAAGTCTGAGAAATAACAAGGTTCTGTCTCGTATGCTTCACAGAGGAGGTTCGGATTTGGGGACAAGTGTCATTAATGAGGGCCATGGAAGTTCGTCAGCTTCAGAGTCACATGCAATCTGATCCAGGACGGCTCTCGCTGCTCGGGCAGCAGCCGGCTACGGAACTGAAAGCTAATGGGGAGGGGGCGGGGAAGCCTCTTGGATAAGGCCTCTCTCTGCAGACCCAGGTCTCACAGGTTTTCACCAGGCTGGTACTGGGGCTCTGTGGCGGTGAAGTAGTCTTCCAGGAAGCCCTGCAAGTACTCGAAAGTGGGCCGCTCCTCCGGGTCCTTTTTCCAGCAGTGGATCATGAGCTCGTGGAGAGAGATGGGGCAGTCCTGCGGACAGGGCATCCTGTAGCCGCGCTCCACCTGCTCCAGCACCTCCCGGTTGTTCATGCCTGCAAGACAAGGCAGTGAGTGTGGGCCCTGCCGCTCCCCTTCCTTCTACCTTGAGCCTGCATGTGGTTCAAGGGGCACTGCTCCATTCAGAAATAAACAGGAAATGTGCAACTGCTACCGATGAATCTCAAAAGCATTGTGAGTGAAAGGAGCCAGACACAAAAGGCAACATACTGTATGATTCCGTTTCTGTGAAGTTCTAGTAAAAGCAAAGCTACAGTGACAGAACGCAGATCAGTGGTCGCCAGGGGTAAGGGGAGGGGAACGTCTGCACAGGGGCTGCAGGGCACACTGAGGGGTGATGGGAACCTTCGGTTTCAGGGCTCAGCAATCAACGGCTGTAAAGGCCAGATAGCAAATGTTTGAGACTTAGTGGGCTGCATACGATCTCTCTGCCGCAGATTATTTTTCTTAATAGCCCTTTAAAGACACACGAAAGAAAAAACAGGCGGGAGTTGGATTTGGCCCACAGACCACAACCTGCCAACTCCTGTTCTAGATCTCGTACGCAGCGGTGTGACTAGTTCATGTTTGTCAAAACTCATTGTGCTCCCAAAATGGTTGAATTCTATTGTTTGTAAATTACAATTCTGTGAAACTGATAAAAAAATATGAATGAAGCAGGCAAAGAAACAGAAATCCATGGAATGAAACATACACTGTTGATAGCATCTAGAAGCTCCACTTACGAACTTCATAAATTCGTTTTGCTTGTGCCTGGGCAAGCTTCTGGTGCCCCCCCTGCCCCCCCAGCCCGCACCCCCAGCTGAGATCTGCCATGATGTCGGCAAGGCTGGGTACCATCTGGCCCAGCGACCCCGAGGTGCCCTGGGGTTTGGTGACTTTCATGGGGAGACAGGGCGCCTCCGGGGGCTGTGTTTACTGATGACCTTGGACAGGCCATCTATCATTTGAGACCTCTGTGACCCTCTGGGGGAACTGCCTAATGTTGCGAGCTCAGGCTGCACAAACAGGAGACAGCCGGGGAGACTGCTAACCCTTCTGGAGGACGCAGCCTCCCTGCACGTTGGCCTTCCTGACAAGAGCAGGAAATACCATACGTGGGGTGAGGGGAGCGCCCTGACCCTACTCCAATCACTGCCAGACACTATCCTCTAGTTCTCCTTCCTTTTCCTGCCATATCGCATTCTGCCATCGCCTGCCAAGCACTTGTATGTTTTGGCTGCTCCCTTGGCCCCAAGTCTAATTTGGAATCCTTTCCAACCTCTGACCTGGTTTGTTTGTTTGTTTGTTTTAAACAAAATATGGTTTCAAGCCATGCAGAAACCAAGATTTTTTCCCCCTATCTCAGGGATACAATGAGAAGACCAAAGCATATACACGAAGCAGTTTCCTTTAATTCTGGAGGAGCTGGGCCCAGGGCGTAACCTTGTCCTGACTTCTGGGGTCTGTTGCCATTCTTCTTGTTTTGTTGTTACTTTTGGACCTGGGTTTATCCTGTGGCCGCCAGCCATGGCCCTGTCAGTCACATGCCTGTACAAGCCCTTTTAGGATGCTTTCTTATTCTCTGCCACTGTAACTTCTTGTGATAAAATCCATATATCATTCCTGCTGTGTTGAAATAGGCCTTCAATTTAATTATTCTCGCATAACCTTGCTCATGTTTTGGGAGTGATGCCCCGTTTAGTGCGAGAGGTTTAATGAACCAATGTGGGCCCCAGCCTCCATGCCATGCCTGATTTCACAGGTGCCCTCTTCAGTTGGGTGTTCGGTCAGCTCTGTGGCTAATTAGCTTAAATCCTCCTCCAACTGCTGAAAACTCATTTTGAAAACTCGGGATGGGGTGAGGAGCTGGAAGCAAGGGGCAAAACATAATGCTGCCAGGAGAACGTCCTGCAGACCTCTGGACAAATGGATCGAGGGGCAGGGGACAGCATTTCCTTATCCACTGTCCCTAAATCCCACAGGATCTGCAAACCAGAAGTGCTGGTAGTTCACTTGGCAGCAAAACTGGTCTGAACTGACCTCATTCTGGCCATAAACCCCGAGGCTATTTACTATTTTTGTTGATTCATACACACTGCTATAGAAATAAGAATGTATTTGAGTACGGACTTCTGCTTCAGACTCTCCTGGGATGTTATATAACGAATGGTCCGTGCACTGTATGCATGTTCTTTATTTTATTTTATTTATTTATTTATTTTTTTAAAGATTATTATTTTTTTTTCAACGTTTTTATTTATTTTTGGGACAGAGAGAGACAGAGCATGAACGGGGGAGGGGCAGAGAGAGAGGGAGACACAGAATCGGAAACAGGCTCCAGGCTCCGAGCCATCAGCCCAGAGCCCGACGCGGGGCTCGAACTCCCGGACCGCGAGATCGTGACCTGGCTGAAGTCGGACGCTTAACCGACTGCGCCACCCAGGCGCCCCTGTATGCATGTTCTTTAAAAAAAAAAAAAAAAAAAAGTCTGACTCTGAAGCACATATGGGCCCGAGAGTTGTGGCTGGGAGCCTCTGGCCCGAGCGGTGGCAGCAAGAACAAGTACATCCCAGGCCAGAAAGGCGAGGGAGAGAGGGTAATCTCTTGTGAGGACCGGCATTCTCTAAAGCCTCTGCTCTGTGTTTTACTACAGTCCTTGGTTTCATAATCTCTCAGAAGCCATATGACCCAAACCTGCAGAAATGCCCCCTTGTCTCTGCCCCTGCCAGGAGCCTGTAGGAACTGGGAGGAAAGACAGGCAGAAGGTCTGAACGTCAGAAGGCCTGACAGGCCCCTTCCGGAGATGGTTTCCCCACCCCCCCCCCACCCCCAAACGCCTTCTAATGCTTTATTCTGGCATTGAGACTGTCCAAAATGGCACCACAGAGTTTAATTAATCATTCTCCGATTGCTCTGTGGGGTTTAGGTCAGTAAATGTTTCATTTCATTAAAAAACAAACTACTCAAATGGAAAGATTTCATGTATTTCTTTAAACTCTTAATCCAATCTCTGCCAATGGAAAGTTTAATTGGCCACTTGGGTCAGGCCTATTTTTCCAGCGCTCTGCCCAAGTCCCAGACACAGCAGATAGAATAACTTGACCCGGGGTGCCTGGGTGGCTCAGTCGGTTAAGCATCCGACTTCAGCTCAGGTCACGATCTCGCGGTCCGTGAGTTCAAGCCCCGCGTCGGGCTCTGGGCTGATGGCTCAGAGCCTGGAGCCTGCTTCCGATTCTGTGTCTCCCTCTCTCTCTGCCCCTCCCCCGTTCATGCTCTGTCTCTCCCTCTGTCTCAAAAATAAACAAACATTAAAAAAAAAAAAAAAAAAAGAATAACTTGACCCTATACCTGTAGCATCCCCTGAGACAGCCTGCTTCCTGGGCGGCTGTAGCTAGGGGGACCCACGTAGGCCACCAGCAGGCCCATGCCGACAGTCACGTGCCTGCTCCTTGTCTCGCTCCTCCTCTTTCTTCTCTTCTCATGCCTCCTCTCCCTGGGCCTCTCAAAGCACAGGGACCATATGTAACCAATTCCACACAGTGGGCCAAAGCGAAACATACCAATGACAGCTTTGCCAGAAAAGCGGGAAACAAGACAACACACCGGCTGGTGACGACAGCGTGAGCGGGATCGGCTCTTTTCCAACCGTCCGTAAGCCAGAGCCCACACGGCTGACCTGCAGACGGCACCTTCACAACCCTGCACAATCGAGAGCTTGCCCGCCAAGCAAGGCTTAGGCTAGTTTTTACTCTACAAACAACTGCCGGATTAAGGGGGTTCATATTGAAAAGAATAGTTTCCTCAGCAATAAGAATAATTTTGAAAAATCATTTCAAGAATTTGTTTTTCTTTTTTCTCCCTTTTCAGTGGGGAGAATGCTAGCAGAGAAAGAGAAAAGACAGAAGCTTTAAAACATGGCATACGGGCATGTTTTAGGGAAATGCGGTCATCAACAGTTTGGGCCTCTGCGTTTCCTGGTAGGGGCTGCAATACAGACCCTTTTTCAGTGGGAGGGTGGTCTCCACCACCAGTCGTGGCTGACTGTGGGAGGTGTCATATTCACAAAGCAAAGCTGGGTGTGTGCCCTGCTTCCCAACCTCCACATCGGAGGAGGACCTAGGGGCTGGGGCCTCAACGCCGTCCTCTTCTGACCCCGCCGTGCGGCCCCTGTCCTCTCACGGCGTGGGAAAATGGGCCACTGTCACGGCCACCCTCACAGGGTACTGCTTAATGGTCCTCAGTCCACGGAAACCTGTGGGGCCTGCTGGCTGTCCCAGGGTTTGCTTTCAGATTCCTCTTCCCCAGATCCTCCGCCGGGCCTCCTGTCACCACGGATTTCGGGCTTGCCCGGACATGGTCAGGGAGAGAGCATTGTTTCCAGTCGGTCTGCCCAAAGCACTACAGCTGAGACTCTCCAGCCAAGTGGACTGTACTCACTTCCTGTTGTTAGGACTAGATTGTCCTTTCTAAATCATTTTGCTGGCTTCCTCCTGATTTCCGAATCAGGGTCAAGCTTCCAACTCTCACTATCGATTTTCCTGTGTGTGTGTGTGTGTGTGTGTGTGTGTTCTTTCTCTTTGCTCTTTGTTGTCTTTCTCCCTCCTCTTCTTTTAAACTTTCCTATTCTCCTCTAAGCTACATATTAACTCAGTAGAGCCTCCCTTCCTTCTTTTCTTTTAGGTTCTTTAGAGAAGGAAAAAAAAAAAACCAACCCTCATTTTCACTGGCAGAGCCGCTGCACTACTTCTGACTCTGTATCCTCTCACGGGGTCTCTCAGCAGATGACCTGACCTCCCCCGGCCTCAGTTTCTTCATTTGTCAACAAAATTGTCAACATTTGTCAACTGTGCTCTTAGCTGTTTGAAAAAAAGACAAAAAATGGTCTTCTATGACAGAAGAGGGTTTTGCTTTACGGCTTCCCGTTTGTGTAGCCTCCTAATATGGATCTCGGAGGGGCCGTCTCTGCACCATCAGGGATTTTCGCTGTTACCGGATCAAGGCTGCATCTGGATTTGACCATGGGTTGCAAGAACCTGGATTTTTGTGCCATGGA